GAGGCCGAGAAAAGGACGAGGACGGGAAAGAGGAACGGGGGGGCGAAGGGGGAGGGAGAGGAGGGGGAAAATGAGGAGGAGTAGGTTGAGGAAGGGACAGGACCGGAGCAGGAGTGAGGACGCAGCATCACATGATGAGATGAGTGCGGCGATGGCCGCAAATTGAAAGATGAGCAGCTGCAGTTTGAAGAACAGGAATGTGGAAGCAGATGGCAGAGGGCGAGGCCCCCAGGAGACGGGAGGCATTGCGAGGATGACGGTAGGAGGACGAGGAGGACGGAGATGAGGAGAAAGGAAGATGCGGGATGGGGCGAGGGCGGCTAGCTCCCCTGAGAACGCTCGCGGCTTTGGAGGCCAACGCAACGTGTGACGATGTGCCCTGGCCGATCCCCCTCCCTCCCTCTCCTGCCCCTTGTCCCCATCGCAGTGGTTGTGGTTAAATGCGCTTTCGATGGTTCGTTCCCCCCTTGTGCTCGCGTGACCCTCGTTCTCATGCTTGCTCGTCGCCCCCCCTCGCCCGCCATCTCATCGCCCCACCCTCTATCCGAGGGCATGGGAGGGGCCTGGGCCGCGGCGCCCTATAAACAGTGACTACAGAGGAGGAGGCGGGTTCGACGGTGAGGCCGAAGGGGAAGATGGAGGTTGGGCATGGAGGATTGGGGAGGGAATGGGGGTACACAACGACGAGCGGTAGGAATGCCCCAGCGCCCGGGCTCAATTACCCACCGCTGATTTTGAGTTCGACCCGCCTGGCTCCATCCATCAGACGCTTCTTCTGCTCACGACAGATTGCCTGCCCTCTGTCGCGCCATGACACCCGCCCACCCCCATCCCCGACACCCCTCCGAACCCTCATCTCGAATGGCAGGGCAATGAGAAAGAGGAACGCAGGAGGGAAGTAACGAAAAAGATGAGGAAGAGAATGAGGTGGAGGTGGGGTGCTAAAAGGAGGCGGTCGGGGGAAACCCCAGGTTGCACACAAGGTGGCGAGGGGGAGTGGGCGGAGAAGGGTGAGGGGGAGGAATAATGAGGATTGGCCGCAAACAGCAAATATACAGACGCGGCTGAGGAGATGGAAATAGAGCAGCTCCGCACTCTCTTGCCAGTCGAAATAGAGCAGGAAAAATATCCCGATAGAAGCAGGACGACGACTACAACAAGGGCGACGGTGATGGTGTGAGAAATTCGAGATGAGGGGGATAGGAGTCGAGAATAGGGGCGTGGATGAGGAGCAGGAGGAACACACAGACAGAGGAGTAGCAGCAGCGAAAGGCAACGCGAGGCCCTGGCGCCTTCTTCAGGCCCCACCCCTGCCCCCGCAATTGATTGCCCTGCCCAGTCTTTACGATGACGGGGGTCAAGCGGAACTCGATATTGTGGGTGTTCACCGCTTCGTTGAACTTGCGCTCTTTGTCCGACACCTTCCTGGCCTTCTTTTTCTTCTGGGTCGCATCATCCTCGGAGTCCTGCCCTACCCAGTCCGGCAACCGAGGTGCTGCGAGCGCCGCCCCCGATGGCAGCGGCGGCAGCGCAGGCGCGCAGCAGGCCGCGGGACTGGGTGCAGGGCAGAGGGGCAGAACTGCTGGATGCTGGACACTGGGAGATTGGAGACTCGACATCGGGAAGGTGAGGAAATTAGGATGCGAATGGTGATGGCTGCACAGATCCCCATGGACCCGTCGATCCCCCGCGGTCCTCGTCGTCCTTCGGTTTGGATTTCTTGGGCGTCACCAGCCACGGGTAAGAGAAATCAGACTTCCCAGGGGATGCGAACGAAGACCCGTCCAAAAACAAGTCGGGCCCGTCGATGGCGTTCTGGACGGCCTGCCCCCCTGGCCCCCTGCCCCCCGACGCAAGGGGCATCAGGCGCACTTGACAGCCTTGACCGCGCCCTTCTTGGTCCCTCCAGACGCGAGCACCCCCCCATCCTCACGCTGTTTGTTCGCACTCATTCCTGCGTATTGCCACGGCACGCCGGAGAGTAAAAGTTGTGCCAATGGCATGTGGATGGGGGGAGCGGAGGTTGAGGAGAAAGGAGAAGGATCAGGGAAGTCGGAGGCGAGAGGGAGAGGAGGAAACCGAAAGGGCGATAGGGAGATGGGGGGAGCAAGTAGGGGGGATGCTGCATATTGGAAGGGGTGGCCCTCTGCCCTCTGTCAGTTGTGATGCGCCCAGCCTTCGATAATACCACATCCCCTGCCCGCCAGTGCAGCAATGATGTCAGATTTCGTATCCATATCCAAATCCAAATCCTCATCATCATGTCCCGTTGCATGTTCTCGCTGGTTCTGCAACAGAAGGTCTGCCAGGTCATTCATTTCCGTCCCCTCTGTGTGTCCTAACGTTGCAAGTAGCTCTGCAGCTTGTGCAGACTTCTTGAAACGATCCCAATCATCATGATCCTCCACCTCCTCACCAGGCACACAGTCAAGAGGAAGCAAGTACGATTTGGCCACGTTGCGGGCCACGGACAGTTCGACGACCCTGCCGCAATAAGGTAATTCCAAAATCTTGTGCTCGGAGACGGGCTGACTGCAGAGGGGGCGGGTCCGCCGCAGCCGTGGCGAGCCAATGCGGAGGAGGTGGCGAGGAAGATGCCCGCGAGCGGGAGCAAAGTCTCGACGACGGTGGCGGCGCGAACGCTCGGAGGCATGTTCCCCGCCCACAGAGAGGGACTCCATGACTGACACGATAAGGAACGGAGTCCACGCGGGGGCGGGGAAAATAGAGCAGGGAGAAGAGGCGAGGGCGAAGCACAAAAGGAGGTGGAGAAGGAGGAGTGATCCCTGGTTGCGACCGCGCCAGGGAAAGAGAAGAGACACGAAGTCCGACGGAGCAACATGAACGAAAGAGTTGGAGGGAAGACCCGTGATAATGGCACGATTCCTGACGAGATCAGGGGGCAGGGATGAAAGGAGAAGCGCAGGACAAGGAGAGGAGGAGGATCAGCAGGAGAATGAGGAACAGGAGGAGGAGGAATAGGAGGGGTGAAAGGAACGGGAGGGCAAAGCGAAGGTTGGTCAGTGCAGTCGGCGAACGATCGTGCTCACCGGCTCATCGAGCCCCTAGCTCAATCTGTCTTTTCATTGGTTCACTGGGGTCCGCGTCGTAGCCGCGGAAGGGGAGGAGACGGAGAAGCCTGGTTGGGAGCTCGCGAACATGGCGAACACGTTCGCTGAGGCTAGCTGCTTTCGCGACATGGCGCAAGGTAATCAGGGGAGGGTCCCGCAGACGAGGAGGGAAGGAGGGAGGAGTGAGTTAGCGAGGGCAGGATGGCGCGACGGGAGTCGGGCGCGAGGGACGAGACCGAGGATAAACGAGAACAACATTCATTTAGGAGGACGGAGGAGATGGGGGAGGGAAGGAGAAGGCAACCGGCATAGGATCAACGCGCGCAAACATCGGTGGCCGCAGCCGCAACAAAGTGCGAGGAGGCATTGCCAACATCCCTGCCCGTCCCACCCGTCCCAGGCCACCGAATGATGGAGTACAGCTTTTTCTCGTCAGTCTTGATGTTCCCGATGACTTTGACCATCAGGTTGGAAGACTTGCCCTCTTCGGCGGCGGTCATGGCCGTGATGTGCTGGTCTCCCCCCCAAGCCCCAAACGCTCGCCCGTTAGCCCTGCCGCGTCAACTGCGTGCGCTCTCTGGGCATTTGCAGATTTCGACGCATGTGATAACGTGCCAAGCGCACGCTCCGATAATCTCGCTGATATGTGCATTCCTACCCTTCCTCCATTTCTCGGTGTCCTGCCCCCCCCCCCCCGCCGAGGATAACTTTGTTCAGGGCGGCCGCGACCTCCCCCCGTTCAATTGCATTTGCACAAGCGAATGCTGCACGCGCTGTTGTCGTCTGATCGCTCGCGCGCGCCGCCGCAGATCGTACCCAAGCACATCATGCGAATGGCAAGCAACAATGCGCCCAGAGGTGGGCCAGATCTGCGGCGGCGCGCGCGGGCGATCACCCGATCCCTGACAGCGAGACCCCCAACGGGCATCCCATTGCAGAGACACCACCCCCCACCCAATCACACAACAAGGGAACAAGGGCTGGTCCCCCAACTGCATCGCCCCCCAACCCTGAAGCAAGGTAAGCACATTAAAAGCATTCAATGCTCACTACACCCACTACAGCTCGAGACAGCGATGTAGCACAAGGCAGCAGAGTGCCACCCTCTCTATGATGATCGACTCATCGACATTCGTCCCGAACGCGACGACAACTCCGAATCGAACCGACGACCCACGCGCTACTGCAACTGCCCCACACTGCCCGCTCCCCCCCCCCCCCGACTTGCTTCCGGAATATTTGCGCGGCGAATCCACAATCAGCATCTTCCTCCTCCATCTTGGTAACGTGCTCTCGCCACTGAAGCATGCTGAAGATAGCAGGCTCTTTCGGGTCCGAGCCCGCGCCCTGCTGAGTCCCAGTATTTGCACCGTCGGGTCCACTAATCATCTGCTCGACCTCCCAATCCCCTCCGCGCCACTGGGAAGGGGGAGAAGGAGCAACCGCAGGAAGAGGAAGGCAGTCAGTCATCCTGACTCTCGCTCCCCCTCGCTTCATCCACCGTCCTCCCTGGGACTCCTCCCCCGACTGCTTCTCTGTCGCTCCGTCTCTCCCCCCATCCTCCTATCCTTCTCCTGCTCCCACTCAGTCCACTTACTTACTCTTCGTCCCATTCCCTTCCCCATCTTCCCCCCGCCCTGCTCACCGCTCACCCTTCCCCATCTCCTCTTGCTCAGACCTTCGCGATTTCAATCCTGGATCCTGACTAGCCCCCAGCCCCTCAGCGAGCCGCGGCCTGGGCCCCAACAACCCTCCATATCTAATCATATAGTTCCAGACCCCCTGTTCGCCGCGTGCTTTCCACGCCGACATGCAGCCCCTCCCGATCTTGGGTGGGCGTTCGCATCATGCTCAACGCTTCTGAAGCCTACTAGCCCCTGCTGCCATGCTGCCGATGCCCCCCCCCCCCGCGCGCAGTCCCCTGCTGGCCTTTGTGGGCTCAGGGTACTTGTCTCCCAGCCTACCGCTCACCACCAGCCAGGGGTCGGCCGCAAAAACGCTGCTCTGGCGCCCGCTGGAGTTGGTGTCCACCCACTGGTTGATGGCAGCGCCGACGCTCTTCGCGCGCTCGCCCGCGAAGAGGCTGTTGGTCGGGTCGAACGTGATCCCCCTGATGCCGAAGTCCTCGCATACCTCCCCTCGCTCGCATAACCCCCCCTTTCCAAAATTGCCCTCATTCGCCTGACCAATTCCCCCCCCACCACCCACCCCCACACACACACACCACTCCTCCATCCCCCTTCGTCCCTCCATCCAGCCATCCTTCCTTCATGTTCTCTCTCTCTCTCTCTCTCTCTCTCTCTATATCTCTTTCTCGCTCTGTTTCGTGTCGTTATTTCTCTCGATAGCTCCGTCACTCTCTCGCAACATCTCTCTCCCTCTTTCGTTCTCTACCTCTCTCGTTGCCAACCTCTGTATGTATATTGCTCTTCCCTATATGTGTATACAAGGTTGTGAACAGTTTTGTATACACATATGTATATGTATGCATATAGAAGAGTAAACGCTATGTCTATATGTATGTATACATGTGTCCCTCTCCCCAAACACACGTATGTAGATATTTATGCATATAACTATATATCGTTCCCGCTCCCTGTCGCATTCCCTCTCTATCGCGTTCCCCTCTCTCGCGCACACTCCACCCATGCATGTATTAATAGACGTGCAAGCATGTGTCTGTGCAGGTGTATAGTTATCTCTCTTTCTCTCCTCTCTCTCTCTCGCCCGTCACAGTGCCATTCACGTGCGTACGCGTATGAATAGGTGCAACCACGCGCAAGCATTATCACATCATATGTTTCAACATCTGCATGCACATCATGCATACACTGTGAATACACATAGACATCCACAGTCATTGGTACGTGTATATATGCATGTGTGTACATATATATATATATAAGCACACACATGTTTATCGTTGTGTAGCTTACTGTGTGTCTCCATAGTGTCACCAGCAAGTTTCTGTGCGTAAACTTGCGCATGCACTGCTTCGCCGTTACGTACGTGTATATTGTGGGATGCCCCTATCAACGCACGTATGCACATCAGTGTTCTGCGGTCTGCTCCCAGAGCCGCCCGACTCTACTCTGGAGCGGGCGACCGCGAAGCGGATCGATGTATTCAGGGCGTGCCGATTATTGTTTTTTGTCAACGCGCACGCAGGACCGCACGCTACAGCATGACTTGTCCCCTTCTTCCTGTCGTACCCCACCCCCCCATCTCAGTCATCCACCCCGTCATTACCTATTTAAACCTCGCACCCCGTCTTCAAACGAAGCCCTGCCTCACTATCCCTCCGCATTCGCCCGTCCTCTCGTTCCCTCTCCAGCCCATCCCCTCTCTCCCCATGTCATCGCCCAGCGCCGCATCCTCTCGCGCGACCCCCCGGCTGCAGACCCGACTCGAATGGCGCTCACGGTTTCGCCTCCCCCCCCTCACCTTATTCAATTGTTCATGGCCGTGCGCCTGCTGGAATTTCGCCTCGATCTGGGCGAACTCTGCGTCGAACGCGGCCGCCTGAGACGGGGGGCACGTCTGGTCCAGCTCGCGGAGGATGGCGAACAGCTCGCGCATCGCGTCCCCGAACTGCAGGCTGTGGGGGTGCGCCTGCGCCCCATGCCCCTGAGATGCTGCCACCCTCATCTTACGTTGCGGCCCTCTCCCATGCGCCGTCGCACCATTGCTCCCCGCACTTCATTTCCTACGTGCGTCGGCCACAGCGCGCCGCTCAGACTCTAACAGGAAGGCGCTGCGATTGCAGCCGCCTCCACGGCCGCCCGCTCGGGCCCTTTCGCTGCCGCTCCGTATCCCCCCCCGCAGGCCATCATGACGGTGAAGATCTTCGGCGGCGCGGCTGCCTTCTCGGCCATCTTCCCAAGGCACTTCACCTGGGATTGCAGCGGGCGGGGGGCAGGACAGCGGCAGAAGGACGAACCTATTCCCCCAATAACGCCTTCCCCCTCTTCCCCAAGCCGCCCTCCGTCCTCCGCCCCCCCCTCCTCCCGACCAGAATTATACGCCTTGCCAGACCGTGCCCCCTGGCAGAACGCTGAGGCGTGGAAGAATGCCAAGGTAGGTCTGTGTGGTGTAGCTTTGGGTAGCGTCTGGTCGAGGGGGCACGGCGGGCCGTCAACTGTGAAACCTCAAACATTTTATCTCCAGGCTTGGGTGAGCCGTGATGCTGCTAATGATGATGCTGATGATGCTGATGCTGATGGTGATGGCGATGATGATGATGATGATGATGATGATGATGCTGATGATGATGATGATGATGATGATGGTGATGGTGATGATGGTGATGATGGTGATGATGCTGATGCTGATGCTGATGCTGATGCTGAGACTGATGATGATGATGTTGCTGCTGATGATGATGATGGGGGTGCTTGCGATGATGATGTGATGGTATGGCGATGATCGTGATGATGCTGATTGTGATGATGCTGGTGATGCTGGCGATGGTGATGAGGATGGTGGTGATGATGATGGTGGTTGTGGCACTGATAAAGAATCATAGGTTGACGCTGATGTTTTGCTTCTCACGGTGAACCTGGCGATGACGATGACGATGATGACGACGATGCCGATTGCGGTGATGGTGACGCTGATGACATGCTTGTGAAATGATGAGGATGGTGGCAGTGAGGATGGCCACCATGATGATGATGATGATGATGATGGTGGTGATTATCAAGATGATGGTGATGATACTGATGTTGACCATGCTGATGACGAGTTCGATGATGTATAGGCTGAAGATGGGGAAGACGAGCCAACAACACGCCAATCACCTTGCGGTGGGAATGCTACCGCAAGAGGAGGCTCATGGCTGCTGTCTATAGCTCTGCACGCGGCGGAGCCCACCTTTGACTCCACCTGAACTAGAAAACGGGCACACCAGACATCTACACGTCGACTGGGGTGCATCTCTACTAGAACAGCGAGATAGCACGGCCACCCAATGGATAATCAGAACGGGACGAAGAGTCATTGGCGAAATGAAGAACCATACCTGCGATGCGGGGGCCAACCCGCGCATCGCACACGCGACCCAACATCCCACCACCGACCTCTCATCGCGATTCCTCCCCGCCCCGCTCCCCGCGGAGGTCGCTGACGCACCGCAGTCTGGACGACTGGTGGCCAGTGGCCAGGGCGAGCACAATGGGCTTGATGATGATGCTGATGATGATGATGATGCTGATGCTGATGAGGCTGACGGTGATGATGACGACGATGATGCTGATGATGATGTTGATGATGATGATGATGATGATGGTGGTGATGATGATGATGACGAACGGTGATGATGCTAATGACGATGCTGATGATGATGATGAGGAGGAGGAGGAGGAGGACGATTATGGTGATGCTGCTGATGATGCTGCTGCTGCTGATGATGATGTATCTGCCACGCGGGAAGCGTGCATCCTCCGAGCGGGCGCGCATTCCAGGAATGGGCGTTCAGGCATTCCGCGGGTAGGGGAGGGGGAGGAGGGGAGGGGGGAGGACGGAGGAAGGAAGGAAGGAGGAGGGAGGAGGGAGGAGGGATAACGGAGGAGCGAGAAGGAAAAATGAAGGAGGGAGTCCGCGGGTAGTGAGGGGAGGGGGGCTTTACTCACATTCATGGAATGCTCAGAACGCTCGGCTGGCACAGTGGCGGGCCTTGCCGCGGCCAGTTGGATTACCTTATTACACTCGCCTTCTGCCCCTCATCTCAGGGGGGGGCCCTGCTCTGACTGCTCTGAGGGGCGGGCAGGCGGGCAGACAGGCCGACAGGCAGGGTGCTCGATGCACCCCACGGCGCGTCGGCGCGATCGCAGCAATCCCTGAATCCCTGAACGATGCGAGCGACAGAGCCCAGGAAGGTCTCGCCCCGATGCTCATGAGTGCGATATGTTAACCTGCAGGTGCGAGGAGAGGTGAACTCGTGGACGGGCGGGGGAGCAGAGCCGGTAATCAATCGGCGAAGGGACCCAGCGACGTCTGCGATCGAACCCGAAGCACCAGTATGATTGCGAGGAAGGCCCCTGCCTCGATGGCCCCACCCACCCTCCAGCTTAACTTACGCAAGTGTGATGTGGCCCAGCTGCGCCTTGCTTGGGGACATGTAGACGCAAGCCTTGTTGGCGCCTTCCTGCTGGACAAGGAATCCCATCTGGCCCAGGGTGCTGCACAAATAAGAGACCACCTCAATCCGAAGGGCCAAGATGAGTTCGCGATTCACGTTTGCTTTCACTAGTTGCTCGAAGCACGATCCAGCTGCAATGACGCCAGGGGCGGTCGTGCTGGACGCTGTGGCCAGCGTGTCGAGGGCGGCGCACACTTTGTCGTGAGAGGGGGGGTACAGCTTTAAAGCAGCGGCAACGACGGCATCCTCGAACGTGCGCTGGCCGTCCTCGTCAGTTCTGAAAGACCCCCCCAGCTCGGCGATCTTGGCCATGACACCCTGCAACACCTCGCTGCTGACCGATGCCACCTCGGGTCTGACCTCCCTTGCCCACCTTTCCCTGGCCTGGAAGGAGGACGTTGTCCAGGGTTTTTGAAGACTATTATTATTTCTTTTTCTACTATATCATCACCATCATCACCAGCATCAGCATCATCATCATCATCATCACCATCATCACCATCATCATCATCAGCATCATCAGCATCATCACCAGCATCACCATTCGCAGCATTACATCAGCATCATCACCAGCAGCATCATCATCAACACCATCAGATTAATCAACACCACCACCATCATCATCATTATCATCCTCATCATCATCAGCAGCATCATCATCATCGGAATCCTCCTCTCGGCTCCCACCCCTCACCTCCTTCCCCCTTTCATGCACTCGACCCCTTTTCGCCGTCTCATCCCTCCCTCCCAGGGAGGGGGGGAGCAGGGGGGAGGAGGGAGGGGCCCTCCCTCCTCCCCCCTGGCCCCCACTCCACCTCCCCATATCATCCCCTGCTTCCTCCACCCACCTACCCGCCCCGAGGTCCTGGGGGTTGCCAGCAGGAGCGGGGGGGGGGGCAGCCAAGAGGCCAAGAGGAGGCAAGGGGCGTGGAAGCACATTGGGGTGGGTTCACGAATAAGTGTTGCGGCAATCAATGAAGCTTCGAAAAACGTC